TATCATCGACATATGTAATTAAATTTCTACGATTTATATTGTAATTGCATGGGATCTGATTTTTAAAATTATGTCAAATATCAACGTATGTTTTAAATCATTAACAAAAACATATCTGATTAAATTGCGACCATATGTTAATTGTTTATAACACCAAATGTTTGGATGCGCAAAATATTTTGTTAGATTTTGATCCGATTGTTATAAAATGTGTTTCGTTTTGAGTCACAGCATAAAATAGTTGAAAGACGAATTTTGGAATGGTAATGTGTTGAATTAAATTAATAATTGAAAAAACAAGATAGTATTGTTCGATTTATTTGAATACTGACAAGAAAACAGTTTGGATAAAATGATAACGTCTTGGAACATAGGGCACGTGGTCTTGATGCTGGAGGTTTTCTTCAGCTACTCTCTCGGTACGGTAAAAGTCTTCACGAATTCTTCCTCGGGATATGAATTGACGATCAAATTTGCGGATCCGACCCAGTTCAGGTTTGTTGGATATACGTTCCTTGCTTTCGGTGCAATTTCCTCCATCGTTATTGCCTGGCTGGCAGACGCCTATACCGGCAAGTTCTACATTTCCTTAGTGGGTGTCGCCTGTTTGACGGGTTCTGCTATGTTCTGGGCCATTTTTCAATGGCACCTCGAGGACGGAGTGCCGAATTACACGTACATGTTTTTCGCTAACGTGCTGGTCGGTATGTACTTCCCGACATCGAGCGTCAGAAACGTGCTTTTGCTCGAACAGTTTCAGCTGCCTTTCGAGTTGTACAACATCAGAAATTACATCTTTGTAGTGGTGATGATAAGAACGGTCGTACAGTTCATATGTCACTGTATTATAGTTTTCGATTACACGGATAGTAAAGACTTCAAGAATCTCTGTCCCGTCGTCGTGTTCTTTTGTATGTTTTATCTTATCGCTTTAATACTGATCGGAAGAAGGTTGCATTTCGAGGCGACGTACTACAGAATTTGGGAATTGACTTTAAAATGTTTCATAATCGCTGTCATCAGGAAAAGGTCACATGATAGAAAAAAGGAGAAGCTGAGAAATAAAAAACGCACATACATGACACAAGACATCTCATTAAAACAGCACGCTAATAGTAAAGATTTGGATAGTATGGGAATACGACTGGAAAGTGAAGAGCTTATCCAAAAGACGGAGCGATGGGGTTTTCGCGGGATCCTGGCCGAAAACTTGTCTTCGTCTCAACCTATCGATTCGGAGCCGGGGAAAACACAGAAATGTTTTGAGTGGCTTTTCGCTTTTGTCCCCATTTCATTGAACTACGAAGACATTGTGCCGTCCTATCCGGTTAACGAAGAAACCGTCGAACTCCACTGGATTTACAGTGCTGTGCCGGTTGTATCGATGTACGTGGCCAATCAGACGAGAAGAATGATCCCAGTCATGTTAGTAATCGTCCCGGCATTTTCACTCGGAAATTTGATGTATTTCATAATTTTACTCTCCGTTAATCAGACCAAGTTCCTTTTCAAGCCTCAAACCTTCAATTACCCGATGATCGATTTCGTGACAGTTTCTGTAGTATTCGATCTAATACTACTCCCCTTTTTTGAAATCATCGTATACCCTCATTTGAAAAGATTGCAACTAAAAGACTTACAGTACTTGTTTATCGGGTACTCCGTGTTGATAATAGCCCTTTTTCACTGTTTCGGAGTACAATTGCAAGTAGAATCGACCAACGGGTACCTTCTACAACCGAATATCGCACAGATAAGGATGTACAGCTTTTTATCATCGACAACCGCAATATATTTCAACGTAGTAGGAGTTCAACGGGTCGGATATTTAGATGTTTTCAAGTATTCCATGAGATTAACAGAAAAAACGAAGTTAAAAATCCACATTGTTAACGACGAACTAGGAATGGATAAAAAATTTGCTATTGATCTTGTTCCGGGTGTAACGATTTCATACATTATTGATTTTCAAACAATAAGCTATAACGCTGATACTTATGATCCGACAGTTTTCTCACCTGATTCAAAAAGTGGTGTCTCTACATTTTTAATCGTCAGCCCGTTTAAATACTTGCCGTACAATTTATTTTTCCAAAACGTAGAAGGTAAAAATAACAGCTATAGATTCAAGTTTGCAAGAGGAGTCAAATATGAAATCCCTCCTGGGCTGTACAACGTTATCGGTGAACGAGAAAATGGGAATACAACATTGTTAAAAACCGCTAATCTCGACGATTCCTGTCTCTATGCTTTTCTCATGTACTGCAATCCGAGAGAAACATCATATGGAAAATTCTTGCTGCTCGAAGGGCCCAAGAAGATATCCCAGTTGAGGATCGTGGTACATGTATTTCTCATGAGTCTCGCAAATGCAATTGTGTCCGTATCGTTCTTCAGATTCCTTTTTTTGGAGTCACCGCCGAAACTGAGAGGTGCGACTTTTACGGTACTACACGCTCTAAATATAATGGGATTTATCTTCATCAACATAATTTTTGAGCTAGAAAATCGAATACAGTTTTCGAACATCATTATAATATATGCACTTGTACAGATATTCATCTTCATGCTGACTATTTACTACGCAAATCAGTACAAATACCGCTATCCTATCACATAAATATTAATAAAAACGCCTTTCGACATCTGTAATTAAATAGCACATGGTATAATCTCTTTTTCTTAAAATTTATAAAAAATAAACCAATATACTAACTTCACTAATTTTCGTGGTCTGTTTGACCAATTAATATCTTTAAATTAATTAAGGGTTTTAGTTGAGATAAAAAAGTTACTGTCACAAGTTTATAAGAACCTACGACCTTCGGCTAAATACGCCGCTGCTTTACCACTTGAGCTATCGTGACCTCGATCCACTCCGACATTAACATCTCATCTCAACCCCACCTTTTGAATTTTCCCTTCTTTTTGCCATTTTTCATTTAATAGGCTAAAATGATGTTCACTTCACTAAAGCTCTCATTTCATTTGTCGCCTAGAATCAAATAGATTACACGACATTTGAAAATGGGGAACCCCATCGATCCGTCTTTTTCTATAAGATTTTCATTTTTCTGTCGTTTTCTTACACTGTCCAAATTTTGTATTTGGAAAACGCTTTGCCTTTAGTAGTTTAGTTTGGACAGTCATTTTTCTGCACACCTAAAATTCGTCAGGTATGACAGTCAAAAACCTTATATTACTTACCAATACAAGTTGGAAAATATAATAAAAGTACTCATATTTTTATAATAAAAATTGAGTACATAAAAATGAATTAATTATTTATATGATCGTACAATAAAAAAATATGACCCAAAATATTCCGTAGTGCTCACGGCACTCAATCTTTCTCTGTCACTCCCCTTTCGTTCTTTCTATTTCTTCATTCTTCAACTTTTCTCTCTCTCTCTCTCTAACTCTTCCTCTCCTTGAAAGACTCGCGCGTGGCTCATGAACAAAAATGTTCTCCCCTTCTTGTCCACATATCTGGGCCATCTGATTGCAACAAACCAAAACGGCATTCATCTCCGTCTAGTCTTCTGATCTATGGTTTTCCAGCAATAGAGAGCCTGATGAGGGACGTCTAGAGACAAGGCAATTCTCACAAAGCCTTCTGATGTCAGTTTTAGAATTCAACCGCTTATATTTCGAACAGTTTGAAGTTGACTACTAGTAAAAGTAATAATTCATGTATAGACCATTATTACTTTTTTTTTAGACTTCCTCTGAACCTAATCCGTTGTAGATCATCGTGGAAGGAAAAGCGCGGTACAGGCAGGACATGGGCAATGTAACGGACGCTGCATCCGTTGCTGGTCAAAGCATCTGCCCAGGGAAGATCTAAAATTAAAACCATAATTTTAAAGAAAAAGTATTACTTATTCAGAAATCGTGATTTGCGGTCTGGTGTTATGTAGGTTTCAGAAAAACATTTTTTTTATCGTGCCAACGTTTCGATTTTTATTGAGATCATCTTCAGGGCCTGGGATTTACTATTTTTGTAATTTAACAAATACATGTAGGATGTGGAAAAAAGTGAATTTATAAAATGGAAAAAATATTTTTCTATTCAATCAAAGTATTTCTACTCTGCATCTCACGATTTCCGAAGAATCACCGACTAACGGTCGCTAATCACCAAATATATTTTAGTACATTTATTTGATGCTTACAACTAAAAATTTTGTATTAAGTAAATACATTTTATATTTGCTAATTGTGCCGGTCGAATTATTTGTAGGAGAGGTTGCCCGTACACAACACTCTTTCACCCTAAAAACTCGCGAATTGCCGAGTCAAATTTGTGAAATCCAAACTAATAATAAAATTGGAGTTTTCCATTACACACAATAATATTGTCACGAGGCGCTAGGGGTCGCCTACGGACACGTTTAGGTGGGACAAATGCCCCCTCCATCACAGAAGGTAGGTCAATCAAATTTCGAGCTAATAAGCACTCGGCTCCTGATCTCTGCAGCGGACTTACCCTAGCTTCTCTAACTGGTTAAACCGTAAGTGACTTTTGTCTCCACCGATTAAGCTCCTCCGTTCGCTCAATTATCAATTATTACTTATTAATAGCCACAAGAAAGTTTGAGGCCTATTCATTTTTAGTTTGTATAAATTTTACCATTAAGTTAATAAATTTATTTTTGGACAAGAAGGTTTTGTTTTACTTTTGCTTTTCTCTTTTCTGTGGCAGGGGATCTTTCCACGTCCAAGCTACCAGGTGTCAGCTTTGCCGTGAACCACGCTCTGCTACCAGGTGTCAGCTTTGCTCTATCCTGCGACGGACTTCGGTTACCTAAACTTACCTTAAGTCCGGAAAATGGCTCGCAGTTTCCAAAGCCCACGTACAGCGAAATTAGCAGAGTGCGCTGTGATGACAGCGTGGGGTAATTAAAATAAAGAAAAGTAAAATGAAAAGCAAAAGTAAAACAAAACCTTCATGACCAAAAATAAATTTATTAACTCAATGGTAAAATTTATACAAACTAAAAATAAATAGGCATCAAACTTACGGTTTAACCAGTTAGAGAAGCTAGGATCAGTCCGCTGCAGAGATCAGGAGCCGAGTGCTTATTAGCCCGAAATTTGATTGACCTACCTTCTGTGATGAAGGGGGCATTTGTCCCACCTAAACGTGTCCGTAGGCGACCCCTAGCACCTCGTGACAATATTTAGAGAAGGAGTTTTTCTACAATTTTTGCTGATTAATGGGCTTTAGGAATTAGGAAAATCAGAATGTTTATTTGGCTTATGAATCATTTTCATTATTTAATATGAATTGCAATTAAAAATATGAGATCCTGATTAAAGCAGTGCGTACGTACAGTAAGTAAAAAGTAAACCCAAGTGAGGAAAGTTTTGTAACATTTACGTTGTAATTAAATCATATCCTGGAGCTCTATCAGAAAGTAGTTTCAAAAGTGTGTCGTAAGTTTGATAGAGCATATGTTATTTCTGAAACAGAATTTTTTTCCGTTAAACAAGTGTTATCGTTGATAGAAATCGCGTACTTTTATTAACCTACTCCATTGAATTTGAAAAAGCAAGTTTAAACATTAAATCAAATTAATTTTAAGATTAAAACCAATTTAGCAAGTTTCTAACCTCATGGAGATCATCTTCTTTTCCATGTCGTCTAGATGAAAAGTAAAAGTGTCTTTTTGCTCTCCACATTGCCTTGTTAGCTTGTAGTTGATTTGATTTTTCACCTTGCTTATAGAGCCAGTATCCATTAATGATACGTCGGAGAATTTCTTCCTTTCCAAAGAAGGTATCTCAACTGTTTAATTTTTCAAAGCAACGCCGCTTGGTGTGCCTATGCCCATTCTTCTTCACTTTAATAATTTCACGAGATACAGCAACAGCTGTAAGTTTTTTATCCAATAATGTCATTATAACGCGAGTGTCTCACAAGAAACATTTTCCAAAGTATTCATTGACCTAGACCTTCATTGAGCCACTCTAATATTAAATATGTAATTTATGAGAAGATATATACAGTAATTTTCAGAATAAAAATTTTTTTTAATAAGAATTAAATAGAGTTAAAGCATTACGTAAAGTCTTAAGAATGCGTGAATTTTTGCTTCAGGATACGACAATCATAAAAAATTAGGTAAGCGAAAGCCGATAGTAGTTTGTCAAACTTATTACGGTTTTAAATTGTGATAAAAAAGTCAGTGTCATGGGCGGGATTCGAACCCACGACCTTCGGCTAGATACGCTGCTGCAACTATCGTGCCCTCGATCCACTCGGACATTAACTTCCCATAAAAACCCCACCTTTCGAATTTTTCCTCCTTTTTGCCATTTTTGAAATGTCGTGTAATCTGTTTGATTCGCGGCGACAAATGAGATGGCTACGGAGAGCTGTAGCGAAGATATACTTCATTTTAACATTAAATTCACTAGTTTTAATGGCCCACTTGACCAATTAATATCATTCAATTAATTAAGGTTTTTAATTGAAATAAAAAAGTCAGTGTCACGAGGGGGATTCGAACGCACGACCTTCGGCTAGATACGCCGCTACTCTACCACTTGACCTATCATGACTTCGATCCAACTAAAAAATTAATTAATTGAAAGATATTAATTGGTCAAGGGGACCAATTGAATGTAATATGTTAAAATGAGGTATACCTTCCCTAAGCTCTCTGTGGATATTTCATTTGCCGCCGAGAAACGAATAGATTACACGATGTTTGACAAATGGTAAAAAGGAGAGAAAATTCAAAAGGTGGGGTTAAGACTGGAAGTTAGTGTCCAAGTGGATCGAATTCATAACTCAAGTGGTAGAATAGCGGCGTATCTAGCCGAAGGATATGGGTTGGAATCCCGCTCGTGACACTGACATTATTTATTATTATCTCAAGTAAAAATCTTAATAAATTGAAAGATATTAATTGGTCAAGCGAACCAAGAAAACTAGTGAATTTATAAAACTAAACTTTTTTAACATTTTGAACTGGTCGTTGAACTATTCTTACATATGAAACATGTATAGATGCTCAATTGATGAAACTTGTCCAAATAATACGTTCTTGATACTTTCATTCAATAGAGATAATATGATATTAGGATTTGTGAATTGTATTATCTGAAGAATTGAGACCAGCGACTAACGTCTAAAAGTATAACAATCATAACAAGGAAAAACTGGAAACTCAAACTTACAGTTTCGGACAGGAAGCCGATGTATTTTGCTCCAGGTGAGGTTGAGATGGATGCCCCCTTTATCAATATTTATGTTTACTTTGTTGTATCAGTTTTACAAAGTTCGGTTAAACCAGCGCTTTGTTAGAAATCTATCAATTATAAGTTTCCTCGGCCAATTTGAGGCAATTGATCGTACTTGTTGAAACTTTGTCTGGAAAATAAAGCTCATCTGAATGATTTTGTCAGGTGAAATACATACATATATATTAATAACTTATGAACAACTACTGATGTAGAGAAAAATTTAATCAGGGATCCCACTGATCCCATTATATTAAACCTTCCTAATTTTTTAAATTCTCTAGTTTTCGTGGTCCGCTTGACCAGTTAATATACTTCAATTAATTAAAGTTTTTAGTTGTCATAAAAAGTAAGTGTCACGAGCGGGAAAAATGGCAAAAAGGTAGGAAAATTCAAAAGGTGAGGTTGAGATGGGAAGTTAGTGTCCGAATGGATCAAGATCACGATAGTTCAAGTGGTAGAGCAGCGATGTATCTAGCCGAAGATTGTGGGTTCGAATCCTGCTCGTGACACTGACATTTCGATCTCAACTAAAAGCCTTAATTAATCCTCCTAATTTTGTTAATACAGTAATTGAACCTTACTAAGTATAATTATTTGTTTTATATTTTATAACATTCAAACTGGGAAGGTGATTATTAAATTAATACATGATCTTTTTTTTCTCAGCTGTTTTCCTCTCTCCTCGGGCTAGTGCCACGCCGAACTTGTTAAAAAATTCCAGCGGTTACTGACTGCTGGATAGCTGCAGACGGCTTTCCACGTTTCTAGATAGGATATTCTAATCAAATCTTGGTAACCTTGCACACTATCAATAGTCGTGATCAAATTTTGGGTAATGTGTTTTTGTTATTTAAGAGAGAGAGAGAGGTAGAGTGTGTGTTAGAGAGAGAGAGAGAGAGAGAGAGAGAGAGAGAGAGAGAGNGAGTGCGGGAGAGAGAGTTGGAGTGAGAGAGAGGTAGAGTGTGTGTTAGAGAGAGAGAGAGAGAGAGAGAGAGAGAGAGAGAGAGAGAGTGAGGGAGAGAGAGTTAGAGTGTGTGTTAGAGAGAGAGAGTGTGAGAGAGAGATGGAGAGAGAGAGAGGGAGAAAGAGTGAGAGAGAGAAAGTTAGAGTGTGAGAGAGAGCTAGAGAGTGAGAGTGTGTGTTAGAGTGAGAGAGAGAGAGAAAGTGAGAGTGTGTGTTTTAGAGAGAGAGAGAGAGAGAGAGAGAGAGATAGAGAGAGAGAATGAGAGAGAGAGAAAGTTAGAGTATGAGAGAGAGCTAGAGAGTGAGAGTGTGTGTTAGAGAGAGAGAGAGAGAGTGAGAGAGGGATCTAGAGAGTGAGAGTGTGTTTTAGAGAGAGATAGAGATAGAGAGAGAGAGAGAGAGAGTGAGAGGATGAGAGAGAGAGAGAGAGTGACAGAATGAGAGTGTATTAGCGAGTGAGATAGTGAGAGTGTGTGTGAGAGAGAGAGAGGGAGAGTGAGAGAGACTATTAACTTTCACATTTAGGGTATGTTAAGTGGGAAACAAATCATTCATTAACTAAAATAATTTAGTGGTTAAACAAAGGAATTTATAATTGCTTCCATTTAGTAATGTCCAACATTAACAGCAAGATTATATGGGAACGAATTTTATGACTTATTGGGATATTTATTTTTTTTTATGCACCGTTCTTAATTAAGTGTGTTTTACTGTAATTGTCCGCTCCCGGCCTTTGCTATGAATATGTGAGACGGCGAAACAATTACGACCGAATGGAGTATAACGTGAGCAATGCTTCATGCATCTGCAACTCTATTTGCATTAAATACAACCTGTTCAACCAGTGGGCCGCCTGAATTGAATTCGGGCCGACAAAGTAATTCGAGCTCATGTTTCGCACCGTTAGATTGTCTGGAGGAAGAATTACATTACTTGATTATAATTTATTATGAAATCTTGAGCAGTGGACACGCATTATTTCAATTAAGGATTCATTCTAATGTCCTTATGTTGAATATTATATATAACCACACAATAATTATATAGTTTTAAATAAACTAATTGAAATTTACTTTAATTTATTTTATTGTACATTATACACCAATCTTAAATTCTAAAAAAAGTACTAATCTATATCAAAAGTACCCACCTATGTGTAATAAAACATGGAATCCTTCGCTTAGAATTTTTTAATATTTTATTTTCTAGTGTTTCTAACCTTGATTTCTTAACACATACATAACACTCATAACATTGAACATAATACATTTCTTTGATACCGAACCCATGATACGTAGAAACAATATATTTATTTATTAAATGATTAAATCAAAGGTGACGTCACGAAAAATTAATATTATAAATGAATCAAATAAAATAATAAATTATAAACAGGAGGAAATGACAAATTTGTATAATTGTGTGGTGATTATTGCCCGTCAATCGACAATTATTCAGATATCGTGAGATGCGGTCTGGTGTGATGTAGGTTTCAGAAAAACATTTTCTTTATCGTGCCAACGATTCGATCTTTATTGAGATCATCCTCAGGGCCTGGGATTTATAAACATTGTTTAAATTTGTGTGGTGATTAGTGACCGTGAATCGAAATTTATTTAGAAATCGTGAGATTCAGTCTGGTGTGATCTAGATTTCAGAAAAACATTTTCTTTATCTTGCCAAGGATTCGATCTTTATTGAGATCATCTTCAGTGCCTGGCATTTACAAGCATTGTTTAAATGTATCAAAAACATGTTGGATGTGGGAAAAAGTGAATTTTTACAATGAAAAAATATTGTTTTAATATTCAATCAAAGTATTTCTACTCACTCAAAGTGTTTGTTTTCTGCGTAATTGTACCATTCTTGCGAGTCGTGTTGAGAATGCTAGTGAAATATTGCTGTTTTATTTTTACATAAGTTCCATTTTGAAGGGATGGGGAAGGAAGTCGGGATAAAAAGACATTTTTGTATAAGTTATAAGGCTTTTTTCAGGAGAAAGGAGTCGACAATGGGAAAAAACGTTGGTAATGGTTAGACAGGATAAATAAAAAAAGGAAAGCGAAATTATTTAAAAATTAGACTATGTAAAAATGTTTGATGTGTGGAATGAGATTAATGTTTTATATGTTATATTGTTTTGTGTGATGTGATGATATATGTATGTTATCTATATTGAATTTGATTAATGATACTGGCGTAGCTTCGACTGAGTTTACATGTGTTTTTTCTGTAATTCGTGATGTGTTTATCTCTGTTGATTTAAACCATTTCAAAAAATGGTGTATAATATTTTGGATTCTTGAAGTCGAAATTGTGTTGGTGTTCAAAATGGTGGGTAGCGGGTGCTGTAGAATTTTGTTTGGGTTTTTTGCAATCATAGATATGTTGCATTACTCTCTTATCGAGATATTGGGATGTAAGACCGATGTAAGTTGCCCGGCAGTTAACATCGGTCAGCAAACATTTTTACATAATCTAATTTTTCAATAATTAGCTTTCCTCTTCTTATTTATCCCCGTCTATATAATCCTGAAAGGATAATCTGGCCGAACCATTACCAACGTTTTTTCCCGTCGTCGGCTCTTTTCACAAAAAACAAAAATGTCTTTTCTATACCGACTTCCTTTCCCACCCCATCAAAATTCAACGTATATAAACATAAAGCAACAATATCTCACTGGCACTCTCAACACGACACGCAAGAATGGCACACTTACGCAGAAAACAAACACTTTGAGTGAGTAGAAACACTTTGATTAAATAAAAAAAAAAATTTTTTACATTGTATAAATTCACATTTTCACACATCTTATACGTGTTCGTTAAATTTAAACAAAGCTTGTACATCTCAGACCCTGATGATGATCTCAATAAAGATCGAAACTTTGGCGCGATAAAGAAAATGTTTTTCTGAAACTTACATCACACCAGACCGAATCTCACGATATCTGAATAAATTGTGTAATACTTCATTGATCCAAGGAAAAAACAAAAACCAAACAACCCGACGGTGTTTTTAATTATTCCAAGCTTGTCCACTCCGCACAGTTTCCGATGAATTTCCGGCTCAACTTACAAATTTAAAAAAATATAATTTATATAAACCCTACAACTTCAGATTGCAAATTGACTAAACGCTTTGATAGACCGAACTAGAGAATATAGACGCACGAAACAAACTACTAGTTAGACAAGTTTTTTTCCAACTCACATTAGATTTGTCATTTTTTTGAAAATATTATTCCAGACCTATCTGTATTAATACACATTAATTTTTTTTTTAAGGATAACGGAAATAATGATCATTTTGCATCTACAAACACGCCTAAAGTATATAATTTTTCTATTAAAGGATGGATTGGTCATGCTCGATCTCTTACCCTGTAAATTCATTTTAATATCATAGTTAAAACTCTCGAAAGTGTAAAAAGATATTCATATTGCTTATTTTCCCATTTATTAATTGCTAACGAACAGCATATATTCCGCAAATCCCTAACAAAGGAACTGAGTGCTTTCTATGTAATTGGTCTCAATTCTGATAGGTTGTTTAGTATAATATCATGTTATTCAACTCAGGCAAATAATATGGAGGAAGTAATATTCAAATCACACACACAAATACATTTCTTAATTAGAATCTCTTTATTACTATTTGTGATATTTAATAATGCTTCCTTAACTAACATTCCTTTTTCAAGAAAGCATGATGAAACCAAATGAACGTATTTGATTTTTATAATTAATTAATATTTATGAAAGATATTGGTCCAGATAAAAAAATCAGTGTTATGAGCGGGATTCGAGCCCACGATTTTCGGCTAAATACGCCGCTGGTCTGCCACTTGAGCTATCGTGACCTCGATCCACTCGGCCACTAACTTCCCATCTCAACCCCACCATTTGAATTTTTCCTTCTTTTTGCCATCTTCTTAATTAATTGAAAGATATTAATAGGTCAATCGGATCACGAAAACTAGTGAATTTAATAAGTTAAAATGAAGTATACCTTCACTAAAGCTCTCCTCCTTTTTGCTATTTTCAAATGTCGTGTAATCTATTTGATTCTCGGCGACAAATGAAATGGCCACGGAGAGCTTTAGTAAAGATATACTTCATTTTAACTTGTTCAATTCACTAGTTTCCGTGTTCCGCTTGACCAATGTCTTTAAATTAATTAAGGATTTTAGTTGAGATAAAAAAGTCCGAGTCACGAGCGGGATTCGAACCCACGACCTTTGGCTAGATACGCTGCTAGTCTACCACTTGAACTTTCGTGACTTCGATCTACTTGGACAGTAACTTCCCACCTCTTCTGTTGATACAAAGTTACCATTTAAATTACAACGGTATTGTTCCGCAACACATGCAATTCATGAAACCAATATTATTACTTCCTGTTAGTTCAACTACTATTACCTTAAGCACCTTTTTAAAAATCTTACACGACATAGATGATTATGACGATATAACAAGTATTTCTGTTTTACTATATTGATGGAAAACAACGTCTGTATATAATTTATTTGATTTGTATTGGACGAAAAATCAACAATTTTTTGAATCAATTTAATAATCGTCTCATTCAATGTATTAATCGTCTAAAGCAATTTAATAATCGTTTTATTCAATTCGGGATTTTATAGCCGGAAAAAATACGAGATATACGTTGCGAACAAGTTTATTTAAATTTTAAAAAAGTAAAATTGTTGAATCGAAAAATATATAGCGTTTTTCTGTCAAATTAATAATTATTGCAACCAATTTCATAATCATCTCATTCAATTTAATAATCGTTTCACTGATTTTAATAATCGATTCAGCCAATTTAATAATCGTTTCATTAAAGTAAATAATCACCTCAACTATTACTAAAACTTCCAATTAATTAAGGTTTTTAGTTGAGATAAAAATGTCAGTGTCACGAGCGGGATTCGAACCAATGACCTTCAGCTAGATACGCCGCTACTCTCCCACCTGAGCTGTCGTGATTTCGATCTAGTCGGACACTAACTTCCCATTTCAACCCCACCTTTTAAATTTTCCCTCCTTTTTGCCATTTTTCAATTTTTTTATCTCAAATATAAATCTTAATTAATTTAAAGATATTAATTGGTCAAGCGGACCCTAATTATTAAATTTCATCGAAATCGTCGATTTCAAGATTGAACAAGTCAGGGAGAAAATAAAAACGTGATAGAAGTTGCGAAAACCTTTATTTAAATTTAAAAAAAGTAAGATTATTTCATAAAAAATTATAAATACTTGAAAAACGATGAGCAACAACAGCTCACTCTTTTGCGATTTTTTACGTCAACTGTGTACAGAACATATCCTTTCATTATCCCGTATTATTTGCTAATTAAAGAACAATGCCAGCATCCATAAAATTGCTTATGTTACAGAGGTTGAGGAATCATTTTCTCCTACGATCACTTTTCTGCCGCCCAAACTGCAACTCTAATCCCTGGAGATTATTCGTTCTCCATGATTAATACAGCTACGAGGACAATCCAGCTGATTATTTCACTTAAGTTGTGAGTTCTTTGGCTTCAGCTAACAGGGTCCTGGCAGGAACTGGTAAAAAATCGCAAACTAGTGAGCTGTTACCGGTTATCGTTGTTAGAATATTTATACTTTTTGATTTTAAAAAAATATTTTTTTATAATTTAAATAAAGGTTTTCGCAAACTTCTCGTTCGTATTTACTTTCACTCCGCCTATAAAATTCCGATTAGTACGACTGCAGGAAGAATTGCCACGTTTATAATTTATTAGAGGGAAATGTGGGAGGACTCGTAAGGGTTGTTTTTGGAAGATAATTTTAATGATATTATTCTTGGGAGATAGGCAACAGAGTGCGTATGAGAGAATGGAATATAATTACAATCAATCAGAGATCGCTCGTACCAGGCAAGCAGCAAAAACATATTTGTGTATTTAATATACAAGACTTCGAACCATTTAATTTAAAAAGGAAAAAAATGTGAGCACAGTCCAGTTTGAAAAGGAAAAATAACAACCGCCCACAGTGCAAAAAAATATCGCTTTCCATATATCTTATGTATATGAAATGTGTGTTGTATGAAAACAAGTTTCGTGCTCCTTTCCAGAATATTCTAACCATTTGCAGGCCATAAAAATAAAAAAATTCTTAGTTGAAATGAAAAAAAGGGTGCTAAATTGAACTCGCATATTTCTTTTTCAGATCATCTTTTACGCCTTTAGTCTACCGTCTCTTGTATGTAATGCACAAATAGCAAGGCGTTTCCTGAGAATCGGAGAAGTTTCAACCGGCCGAAGCTCATTTAAACATTAACGTTATGTTATTTTATTTATACATCATTAGGTTAATTGAAATACGGAAAAATTATTCCAGTAGTATTTATTTTAATTTAACGTCACGTTTTGTCCTGTAATAAAAGCAACCCTCTAGCCTTATCTTTGCCCGGGCTAATCTTTCTCGGTCGCTCACCCTTTTCAATTTCAATTCACTGCTCTTCCAGCATTCAGGAAAACCTTTTAGCTAGAAAAAATTACTTAAACAAGGGTCAAGGTCCTTCACATCGATTTCTATGTGAGCTACTACATTGTTTAGAAAGAGATTGTTAAATATTCACTTGAAACAGCCTCCATCTTTCTACTGAACGAATAAATGCAATGGTATTAATATTATTTCAACGTCCTTCGTGTTTATTACATAAAAGTTTTTAAAATTTCCTGTCATGATAATAACATTAAATGGAAAATATTATAGACAAACTCACTACTTTTCGTGGTCCACTTGACCAATTAATACATTAAAATTAATTAAGGTTTTTAGTTGAGATGAAAAAAATTAATGGCACGAGCGGGATTCGAACCCACGATCTTCGGCTAGATATGCTGCTCTACCGCTTGAGCTATCGCGACCTTGATCCACTCGGACACTAACTTCCCAACTCAACCCCACCTTTCGAATTCTCCCTCCTTTTTGCCATTTTTCAAATGTCGAGTAATCTATTTGATTCTTGGCGACAAATAAAATGACCACAGTGAGCTTTAATGAAGGTATGCTTCATTTTAACTTATTAAATTCACTAGTTTTCGTGGGACGCTTGACCAATTAATATATTTCAATTAATTTCAGTTTTATGCTGAAATCTTAGTTTTCAGTTGAGATAAAAATAGTTAGAATTATAGAAATACCCTGATGTTTTATTGTTAAATTAGAAGTGTATCTATGAAATCTAATTGGTCTCACATACATATTGAGCTCGGAATTGGCCGTAGAACAATACAAATCATTGATCAAAGTGTAAAAGTTTTTGTAACAGAGTATTAAAGATGGAGAGAATAGAAAGACTGCTCGCTCAGCTCTTTTTCGTTTCGCACCGTTTGCGCAAATTTATCTTATCCATAATTTGATGGGTAAACTTTCGTTGGTTTACTTTCGTTGTGCCACCGGCATCTTAACGGTTGATTGTCAGACTTGTGGGGTATGTTACGACTTTATAGGGTTATCGAAAGAAATGACGAACTGGTAAACCTGTCTGATGTTTTATTATTGTCAATTATAAATTGTTTATAAATTGTATATAATTTAAATTGTATATAAATATGTTTCTTTAAATGAACAAAGAAGAATGAACGGCTACAGCCAACTCAGAGGACAAGTTTTCCAAACGGCTCCTATCGTCAAGTATACGTGAATACGCAAACGGCTCCCGGTTCCACCGCTCAAATTGTTTCAACCAAAAACCAAATAATTAAAAGATATTAATTGGTCAAGTGGACCACGAAAACTAGTGAATTTAATATGTTAAAATGAAATTCACCAAAACTCACCGTAGCCATTTGATTTGTCGCCGAGAATCAAATGGATTACACGACTTTTGAAAAATGGCGAAAAGGAAGGATAATCCAAAAGGTGGGGTTGAGATTGGATGTTAGTGTCCGAGTGGTTCGAGGTCACGATAACTCAAGTGGTTGAGCAAAAGATCGTGGGTTCGAATCCCGCTCGTGACACTGACTTTTTTATCTCAACTAAAAACCTTAATTAATTGAAAGATATTAATTGTTTAAGCGGACCACGAAAACTAGTGAATGTAAAAATAATTATTTAGAAATCGTGATATGCGGTCTGTTGTGATGTAGGTTTCAGAAAAATTTTTTCTTTATCGTGCCAACGTTTCGATCTTTATTGAGATCATCTTCAGGGCTCAAACTGAGTCTTCTGTGTAACTGTGCCATTCTTGCGTGTCGTGTCGAGAGTGCCCTCATGACATTGTAAAAACAATGTCCCGTTCACTAGAAAAAATTTGGTTTATATGGATCATTTTACCCTAACAGTAATGCTGATTGATAGTAAAGACAGCAGGAATCGACGAACTTACTGGCCCGGGCTGTTGCATATTAGTGCTCATTATTGATCGACCTCAACCCTTCAATAGGAGAAATTAATTGCATAAATAAACGTTGTGCATTGTGCGTTCCTCTTCTCAGAAGCTGTATTGTTGCTAACTTAGTTGGTTAATTTTAATTTGCGCGAATAATTTATATTGTGAGATTTCTCGTTATTCACTATGAAAACGGAAATGTTACTACTTAAAATATAACTGAATCAAACCTCTTATCACTTTGGTTGTGATCGTTTTATATATTTTTTATTTTTAATGGGCAGCTCAAATCGGGTTGTAGGCATCCTGAGAGTTATAATGTTTTACCCAAGAACAAACAACAACTCAAAATATATAAAATAATAATATATTAAATTTTGTAAACCTTAAAAGTTCTAGGCCCGTTGGAGAAAAAAAAATAATTTTATTAAATTCACTAATTTCGTGGTCCGCTTGACCAATTAATACATTAAAATTAATTAAGGTTTTTAGTTGAGATGAAAAAAAGTTAATGGCACGAGCGGGATTCGAACCCACAATCTTCGGCTAGATACGCCGGTGCTCTACCACTTGAGCTATCGTGATCAACTTCCTATCTCAACCCCACCTAATGAGTTTTCCCTCCTTTTTGCCATTTTTCAAATGTCGTGTAATCTCTTTTTTTATCTAAACTAAAAACCTTACTTAATTGAAAGATATTAAATGGTCAAGCGGACCACGAAATTAGTGAATTTAATGAATTAAAATGACGTACATTTCACTAAAGCTCTCCCTGGCCATTTCATTTGTCGTCGAGAATCCAATCCGATTACACGACATTTGAAAAATGGCAAAAAGGAGGGAAAATTCATTAGGTGGGGTTGAGATAGGAAGTTGATGTCCGAGTGGATCGAGGTCACGATAGCTCAAGTGGCAGACCTGCGGGGTATTTAGCCGAAAATCTTGGGCTCGAATCCCGCTCGAAACACTGATTTTTTTAATCTCGACCAATACCTTTCATAAATATTAATTAATTATAAAAATCAAATACGTTCATTTGGTTTCATCATGTTTTCTGGAAAAAGGAATGTTAGTTAAGGAAGCATTATTAAATATCACAAATAGTAATAAAGAGATTGCTAAAGATTATGGGTTCGAATCCCGCTCGTACCATTAATTTTTTTCATCTCAACTAAAAACCTTAATTAATTGTAATGTTTTAATTTTATTAAGATACACTTACATGAAAGTACAGAGTAACTAACCAATCCATTTAACAAACTATCCATAACAACTAAACTTTAAATAAATATATTTATGTGTTTTTATATTATTTTTTTATAGGTGATGAGGTGAAAAGCTCCAGAGATGCTGAGCGTCTCGGACTGCGATATCTCCTCTCGGAGGGTGTCTATGTCGTCGGGGGGAGACCAGAGCCCACCAGACGATCTGGGCAGCCGCAGGAGCAGCCGAGGTAAACCATAATATTATTTAATTAATTATTTCTATAAATAAATTAACGGACGGGTTAAATTATTAAGGGATGGGGCATGGAATGTTAACCTTAAACTATGGCAGGCGGGGATGATCACCAATTATACTCACTTAAAGCTAAAATTATTAGATGTAGATTAGTCGGTGTATAATACACTGCGCCCTTTAAGAGCTATTGTATGCATCCTTCTGTGCCTATAGTGTACCGTTGAGTCTTATTTCTTTAACGACCTTGAATAGTAGACCTCGTTTCAACGGTTGTTTTTCTTTTACAGTCACAGTGTACATCCCAAAACACTTCTTCCTCGGGCAAGTGTGGCACTATAGTTTGTTTATAGGTGTGTTGGTGTCCTCTCTGCCTCTTTGCAGATTCTGCATGTGCCGTCATGGATTATACAAATTTTCTTTAAATGTCCATTTAGTTTGCAGTGTCCTGTTAACTATACCAACAGGGACATATTTCTGTGGGCCAGGCAAAGTCCGACCATCAACCCTGGTGCCTAGGAGTAACCAATGATGGAGGGAATATCCCTATTACCTTCCTTATCCTTCCTATCCTTTCCTTTTCCTTCCTATCCCCCCTCCCACTGCTGTGGAAGAGGTTTCTTGGGTTGCTGAACCCGCACCCGTCAGGAAACGGGTGCATCAGTAAGGAGTTCGTATGATCTCCCGGGTGGGCGATCAGACCCACCTTAAAAATAATACTGAACCACGGAAGTGCAGTTCCACGCGGCTCTACTAATTGAGGTTGGACTCGTGGTGGTCGTGGTTTGTAAACAAATTGTACCTTAGCAGGAGGGTACCGGCCAACCGGAGGCGGAGATAGTGCCTACACTATCTCTCCGGGGGTGTTGAAAGGAATGGCTAAAAGGCTGTGCTGGAAACCACAAAACTGCCTTTTTCAAGGCACGTGTTTAGACGTGCCCTTTTTAGGGCACTTCTGAACTTGGTTAGTATTGCGCCACCACGCTATCCAAAGGATTGGACAAGTCCATCCATGTAAAATCTTCCTGGTGTTCTTTCGAGAACATTAAGCGTCTGAGAAGTCCCCTTGGGTATATGTCCGTACGTTGAAGATCCTGATGGGTCTCAACACCCATGAGTAAAGATGGGAACATCTGTTTTGTTAAGAATCCTGTTAGGATTCACAGTTTTGTTTTTTGCTTCCTTTGATGATACATTCTATTACTTCTTTCCTTCCGAAATTGTTAGGAGGTCTTGGATTGATTCTGTCTAATGAGTGCATTTCATTGGCCCCTCATTTTCTTTTTATCCTTCTGTCTGTAGCACTCACTGATAGTATGGATTCCTATGCCACAGAAGGGTTCTCGTTCTATCAGGAGTATAGCAGCCTCTTTTCTTGCAAGGGGTGCGCTCTCTCGTTGCCTTCTTGTCACACGTCCTGGGACCCAGTAGATGCTGACTTTGTTCTGCGTACCTAGTATGTTTAATTTAGTTTCATAGTTCACCACCATCTTTGAACTAATGATATTTGAACTTAGTGCTTTGGTGGCTGCTTGGCTATCTGACAAGATATCTATGTTCTTGTTTTTGTACCCTTTGGTCAAGTTGAATTGAGTACATTTCTCGATTGCCTGGACGTCAACTTGGAAGATACTAGTGTATTTTCCCATAGGTTCTGAGTATTTTGTTCCAGGATACTCCTACCCCTGTACCTTAGTGTTCTAGATCCATCTTTGTACCAAACTGGTGCTGATCTTAAAGGAGGTGTTTTCTTCTCGTTCCCACTCTTTTTTGGTATGTAGGTTGATTTGAAAATTCTGATTCAATTCAAACATCTTGTTCATGTCATCCCTTGCGGCCATGAGTATCGGATGGTCTTTCATTATTTTGTTGTTATCTCTCCGATTTAGTTTTATTCCTGTTAGAGGTTTCTCTTTAATAATACTAATAATAGTTTTCTGTGCTGCCTCAATATCTTGTGGTGTAGTTAATCGTAATACATTTACCGTACCAACTGTGGGACATGTTCTCATTGCTCCCGTTATAGAGATGCACGCAAATCTCTGTATTTTTGTGAACTCTTTTGTTTTGTTATTTCTTCTACATTGCTCAAATTGTTAATCATCAATGAAATACCATTATCAAACGAAAGCCATGCGGTTCTGATTATACTTTAATCTTTGAGTAAATATACAGATAAATATTAATTGATTTTGTTTATTCAAACCTCATATTCATTTTCACGTTGGTTCAATAGCATTTACTGTTTTTAAAATCACAAATTAGGGTTGTATGCAGTTAATCTGTCATTGTTAAGAATTCAATAGTTTTCGTGGTCCGCATTACCAATTAATATCTTTCAATTAATTAAGGCTTTTATTTGAGATAAAAAAGTTATTGTCACGACCGGGATTCGAACCCACGATCATCATACGCCGCTGCTCTACCACTTTAGATATCCCGACCATGATTCACTCGGACACTAATTTCCCATCTCAACCCCACCTTTCTTTAATTTTTCGTCCTTTTTGCCATTTTTGCTGTGTAATTTATTTGATTCTCGGCGACCGAGAGGATCGGGGTCACGATAGTTCGTGGTAGAGGAGCGGCGTATCTAGCCGAAGACCGTGAGGTCGAATCCCACTCGTGACACTGACTTTTTTATCTCAACTAAAAACCTTAATTAATTGTTAAGAATGTCCGATCAGGTAGTTCAATTTTGCGTATCTTGAAATACTGAATTGGGTAACTGTTATGGAATCTTAACAAAATGTAAAGCAGATTTAGCGTGCAACGAATATTTCATTGTTGATGCAAATTCTTACCAAATCCCATAAGAAAATGTGTATAGAAAAAAATTAGTACATTCAAATGACTTGTTTGAAAACTTACTCTTTTTAGAAAGCGATTTTGTAAACATTGCTCAGATTTTATCATGTCTTTCTACCTCTCAAATGTTAAGTTCCAGCGACCCACGTGCTATGGATTTAAGGCTTGATGAAGATCAAAAATAGTCATAATTCCTCCTCTCCCCCGGTTTATTGTGTATTAAATTGAAAGGACGCTGAATAGAGGGAGTGAAAATGAAAGCTGGGGAAATTAAACTTGTTCGTTTTAAGGTGTTTATTCAAATCGCCTTCCGGCTTTCCCCAGATGAAACCGTTTCAACCGGGTTTAACTGACTTTTTAAAATTTATTATAATAAAATGACTTTAGTAGAAAATACTAATTGTGTGTTATTAATGCTAAATATATGTTACTGAAGGAAGTAAATTATCAATTAAGTTTTAATTTTTTTAATTTTGCACACCCATAGTATTCACTTCATTGGCAGAAAGGAGATTACTTCTGCTTGAGAATCCTTAGGGCATTTTAAAAATGGGGTCTCCTAGAGCAATACAATTTATAATAATTCTGTAGCATTTGTTTTCACAAAAACCATTCCAAAATTTTTTTAACCCTAGTCGTTTAAAAAATATTAATAATAATTTCAGTTAATTAAGGTTTTTAGTTGAGATAGAAAAGTCAGTGTCACAAGCGGGATTCGAACCCACGACCTTCGGCTAGATACGCGGCTGCTCTACCACTTGAACTACCGTGACTTGGACCACTCGGACACTAACTTCCCATCTAAACCCCACTTTTGAATTTGCCCTCATTTTTGCCCTTTTATCTCAACTAAAAATCTTAATTAATTGAAAGATATTGATTGGTCAAGCGGACCACGAAAACTAGGGAATTTAATAAGTTTAAATGAATTATAACTTCACTAAAGCTCTCCATGGCCATTTCATTTGAATCGGCGTATCTAGCCGAAGATCGTGGGTTCGAATCCCGTTCGTGACACCGACTTTTTTACCTCAACTAAAAACCTTAATAAATTGAAGGACATTAATTGGTCAAGAGGACCACGAAACTTGTGAAATTAATAATAATATACAAAAATATAATCTCATTTATCAAAGATTTAGAAATAATAACTCCTTTACTCACTTAAATTTTGGACAGTGCATTGTGTCCTCCATACTGCTAAACATGGTAAAATAAATTAGAAATAATAACAAATATACAAAACTCTAACAAAAATATTACCAAAAAATCTTAATTGACGTTCCACCCGAAACTGACCCACAAAAACTGAAATGCAGGCAAAAACGATGTAAGGTTGTTACAAAAGTACAAGGCTTTTTTGTTATCAATGCCATGTTGCACCACATGTGCATACATACAAATATATGTAGCAAAAAAGGACGTAAAAGGACGATCTCCAGCGATTCTCGATCTTCTCCAGCCTCTACGCTACACTACTTCTGACAATGGGATTGTAAAGTTGAAAAACAACACTTTCTCCACCCTCGACATTCATGTTTTATGAAATTTTTTATTGTTTAATATTGACGTGAACACATGCAAACTTTACCGATGTAAATGAAAAACGGAAATAACTCATTTTTTCCTTCCATTTTATAGGTGAGTTATTCAAACTTAAAGAGACTACGGCGAACGATACTTCAGTCAAAATTTATTATTTTCAGTTGTGGTGGATGTAAAAGATTGGATTTTTTCTCACGGCAATGAAGGGACTTCGATGAACACAGTAAAGAGGAAATAGAAGTGTGTGAATACACGTGTTAATGTATTTTTTGGGACAATTTATATAACTGTCACCTCCAGGTGATAGTGGGCGTTCGAGTGGGGTAACATTTCGTTCGATCACAAACAGATTGGGTGGATTTTAACGTGTGATTGAGGTTGTTAGGAAACCCATTGATTACCTAAGTCTTAATTATGTTATCAATACGTTTCATTTCTCGTACCTCTATTAATATCTTGGGGGATTAATTTAAATTGTGTTTATCCCCTTTGAGGTTGTTTGCTATCTTCACGCCCTATTATTCCTGCTTAATTAACAAATCAAGAAGATAGGTAGGTATGATGTTTAATTAAAACATATTATAAGTAGTCAAACTGGATGGTCAATTCTGATTTAGCAACACGTGACCCAAAATGATAAAT